AATTTCAATATATGTGTATGATTGTGATATAATATGGTCAATTAGGTGTATTAGATCCTTTTGAACTTGATTCAAGGCCTTGTATGGTCTAATGAAAGAAAAGGATTGATTTGATCACTTGGGTGTGCAATTTTTTTAGAAAAAATGACTTTTTGCACTTGGCTGTCCAAATTTTGATTGGACCATTAGATCGTGTTCAAACCTATCTCATTAGCTATCTTATGAGTTAAGCTTCATGTGGGCATTTAAATCACTCCAATTGGACATTGTATGTGAGAATGGCGCATTTTAGAAATTTGTCATTTTTACTATTAAAATGACAGCAAAAATTTAGACAGGCATGCCACGGTGCATAGTGACACGTGCTGTAGTGCATGACATAGAAAAGTTGAGTCTGTGGCTCTGTGTCACATGCCGCGACGCACGTACTGCACACAATGGTGCATAGACCAGTTCTTAACTTGATTTTGTGATATAAATGCAAGCAATAGAAAGGGGAATGTGTATAAGTTGTGTCCACTACACATTAGACAAACATGTGAATTGCTTTCGCTGTGTATTCTTTGATATGTTATGATTTGGGATGGTTTTTACAAAATAAGTCTTTTGCCAAAACTTTTCAAACAAAATATTTGATTACTGATTATTGTTTTTGAGGTGGTAATTCTATTAATCTTTTCTTGCATCTGAAGAATATAGGGGAGGGTTACATTCTTAACATGCTTAAGTTGGTGTGCTAGTATAGTCACTGAATTACACTTGCTACGGCCATTTCCCTATTAAGAAAGCATATTATGTGCTCATAAATTTGTTTTCCTTATTATATATAGAAAATTAAAACAAATCAAAACAAGTAAATATATAGGACATGAGAATTAATTTATTTGACAGTACTTAAAAGTCTTCAAAAATAGAATTTTTGACGTCAGAGGGAGGGAGGCCATTGGAAGTTGCAAAGAGAAGGGGACGGTAAAGAGAGGAAGAAGAGAGAGAGGGGAATATAAAAAAATTAATGTGAGACTTACAAACAATATTTTATAATAAAAATATTAAAAAAATATAAAGGTGGGACCCACACTAAACCAACGTTAGCCAAGTTAATGTTAGGGTGCTGGAAAATAGAATTTTTTACATTAAGGGATAAAAATGAGCCCAAGTTAAGTTTAGGGTACATGTTGATCTTTTGCATATAGTTGAGGGGTAAAATTAACTCTTAACCTTTATTAAATTTTATTTTAACAAGACTTTAGAGTGTCCAGTGCTTCTAAAAAAATACTTTAGGGAGCTTAGCACTCCAAAAAAAGAGTTCAAGGGTAAATAAACACTAAAGGACATAGTGAGAATCTTAGTATCACTATACATGAGCCTCACTCACATGCCATGCTAGTATATAATGACAGAGTTAAATGTTCATTTATAAAAGGGGTTTTTTGCCTTTTGAAAAATAATTCTGGAGTAAAATTTCCCTACTTAAGAATATAGAATGTCCAGCACTCTTAAAAAATAAGTACAAGGATAAAATTAAACCTTAACCTTAATCTTAATTAATAGATTGTTGAATTGAATAACTTCTACTGAGATAGTGCTTATTGAAGTGGAGAGATTTTTGCCTACTTTTTGGGGTATGAAAAATTTGTATATATGAGCGGAGGGAAAAATTTCTAAACTATATACTCTTTATGTGTTTATTAACATATGAGGCCACACATGTGAATATTAAAATGTGTGACCATTATTATAATTTAGCCAAAATAAAGTGGTCTACTTGAAAAATTTTCAAGGTTTAAGGAGTTTAATTGTCATGAAATTAATGTGTTGAGATTGGAATGATGTTCATAATTTGTTGAGGAGCTAGATTAAAAATATCACAAACTTAAGTTTATGAATAGGAGTGGTGGTCCTGGGTTAGGGATAATAAAAAGCTGGTCCTTTGACTATAAATTCAACCCTTTAGTTAAGTTTTCGCATTTACTTTTATCTCCTGAATTGATATGATGTTTTATTTAAGTTTATAAATTCAGTTGCAATCAATTCTATAGTTTGAATACAAGCCCGATTAATGACAAAAACTAATTTCAACATTTATTTATATCTAACCAGTTAAAGATTTATTTATTCATAGCACTGGTGTGATCAAAATTTTTTATTGTTACATTTGGTTTCATTTTTAATTTTAAGAATAATGCAACGTCACCCATTGTAGCTCCTTTTAATTAGCTGATCTTTCAACTAAAAAAAAATATATATGAATATAATTTTCCCTCTAATTTGTCCTAATTTGAAGGAGATTAATTAATTTATGCTAATGGCGGAGTTGCAGAGAAGATACTCTTGATCCCACAAAAAAAAAAAAAAACATGTATGTCGAATGGCTTGAATTTATCAAATTTAACATATATAAATTTGAAAAAGAACTTAATATGGAATTTTATCTATTGTTTTTGATAAAAGAGCACATTATGAATTGAGATAATGAAATTTTTAGTCTTTTAAATTTGTCTTCATTATCAATTTGAACCCTCTAGCTTTTTCTATTGAATTGGTTCCTTTAAGTTTGTCTCATTTATTCATTTAGCCCCTATTATTTAAAGAGAATGTAAACCTATTAAAATATACTAACTTAATAACATAATATTGATGGTGGCCATATAGATTAATAAAAAATGTAATTATTAAGATAGAAAAAAATAAGACTAAATTTTTTTTAAAATCAATAGAACAAAACTCAGTATAATGGATTAGATTGACAAAAAAAAAAAAACTGATTTGAAGAATAAATTTATTCTCATTTGGTTATATATACATGACAATTCATCAACATACTTTATACACATGATTAATCTGAGAGTTAATTTATATTTTAAAATTAAAAGGACTAAAGTGATAATTTATGAAAAAAAATAAGAGACTAGATTGATAAAAATTAAAATTAAGAAATGACATTGATAGCTGAAATAAATTTAAGGGACTTAAAGTTTCATTATTTCTTATTTATTTTTTTATAACTATCAAGTAATATCCATAACTGCCAACAAATTAAGATTTAAAAAATGTTAAGATCTAAATAGCATGGTATTGAAACTCGGACCGGACTGGCCGGGTCAACCGGAAACTGGTGACCCGATCCCTTGTCCGGTCTGGTTTACTCCTAAACTAGTGACGAAATAAACCGGTGTAACCCGATCAACCCGGTTCAACCCGGTTAACCCGGTGGGTTGATTGGGTTAACCGGGTTATTTTTTTTGAATTTTTTTTATTTTTTATTTTTAGAGTGCTAAATTTAGAAATAAGATAACAAAAAAAAGTAAAACTAAAGTCAAAAAATAAAAAATTAGAGATAGAGCACGCTATGTTCAATTCAGATTTTCAGACAGCATTTATTTCGGCCTTTCATCTGTGTCTCTCCTCTCTCACCCTAACCTAATCAGTGTCTCTTCTCTAGCTTAGTCTCTGTCTCTTCTTCAGGCTCTAGCTCTATCTCCATCTCTTCTCCAGCTATCTCTGTCTTTGCTATCTTCATCTCTTCTCCAACTTAGTCCCTAACTCTTCTCCAATTCTATTTCTATCTCTTCTCTAGACTTTTGAGATTGAAGAGTTGTAAGTGTAATGAATCATGATAGATATTTAAAATATTGTATTTTATTACTGTTAGACTTTTGAGTGGTTGAATTTAGTTGAATATTTTTATAATTAATATTTTTTATTTAAATTATATTATTTTAATCATGACCGGTTTGCCACCGGTTCAACCCCCGGTTCAACCCTAATTGAACCACTAACCCGTGACCCAGTGTCATAACCAGTTCAATGACCGGTCTGGTTTTACGTACCTTGCTAAATAGGGAATAACTCTTCTAGTATGGTTTTCCCTATTCATAAGGCTTCACTTTGAAATCTCTATAGGACCATGAGACTGAATTCTACATCCAGCTGGTGTTTCTCGTGGCTTGCAGGCAACTTCAAATGATCAGTTGATTTTCTGTTGGTTGGATGTCTTGAGTTTCTTGTTATGTTGGGATATAGTTAATTGAAATGTGTAACTTTGATTTCTATTAATGAAAAATAATTATTTCTGGCAAAAAAAAAATCTCATGAATTTCTCTAACAACCCAATTCTATGAGCTCCTAATCACAATATAGAAATTTGGGTCAATCCACTTAATTGAATTAGTAAATCATTAAACCGGTATCTTAATCAGTTTAATAAAATTCTATGATCTCCTAATCACAATATAGAAATTTGGGTCAATCCACTTTTGAATTAGTAAATCATTAAATCGGTATCTTAATCGGTTTAATAAAATGCTTTGTTTATGACCAATTTAATCACGACTTGCTCAATTTTATTATTAATTTTTGAATCAATATTTTGATTAGTTCAATAACTGGTTCGATTTTTATTATCTTACTTCAAACGCCAATGTACTGAAAATTAGATTAATTATTGAATCAGTTTGGATAATGTTTCAAGAGTTAATGGTCAAAATCATAGTTAAAATAGATCAAATTGGTTATAAATAAATTTTTTTATTAAACTAGTCAAAATATGATTTAGTGATTTTCTAGTTTACCTGGGCAGGTTGCTTAGATTTTTGTTCTATGCCTAAAACTAAATATTTTGAAGGACACTAACACATCCCTAATTGATAGTTTGATACCAATAATTTTGAATATCAACCAAGTTCCCAGGATATCATACTAATTAAAATTTTACAAACAGGGAAAAGATATTATACTTTCCCCCCATACAAATACAAAAACGAATTAGCATTAAACTTTTTCACGCACTGGTATGGTGAGTGAGCGTTTGGAGAGTAAAAGAAATTCACGTATGAAGCAAGAAAAAAACCCTACGCCTATTTATCTCCCAAAAAATTCAAATACCGACATTGCTGATGAATGATGATCACAAAGGCTGGGAATCCCATATTTCACACAACAAACCAAATACAAAGAGCTCTCTCTCTCTCTCTCTCTCTCTCTCTCACACACACACAAATTTTTTCAGTCCCACCTTCGTTTGTCTCTGAAACTATAAGCAAAAAGATGAAAAAGATAAATGAATCCCACGAGCAATTAATTATTTCAATGCGAAAACTGGGTTTTGATTGTGAGTCTTAGCTGGTCCGATCACGTACCTCCTTACGCCTCCTTAAAATTCACCAAAATTCAAACAAACCAGCTTCACCTATCCTTCTATCATCTACCTATATATACACACACGCACAGTTGCTAGTTGCTTTTGTTTTATTTATTTGTTCTGATATAATCATAAGGGTGTAGCTTTTCTATTTTGTGGAAACTGCGAAGTGGGCATTAGTCTTCGTCCCCATAATCCATGCCCCAATAAGATATACTATATTTCACTCTGCTGCACACAGTCATGGATTTCAGCGTTATATTCAAACTTCGTTTCATGCCCGCGCACTAACCTAACAATTAGTTGCTTTCAATTATTATTATTATTATTATTATTACTTTTGGTTCGTCTCTTTGCCTGTTTCTCTTTCCAATACTTGAGAGTGTGACCGTTTTAAAAAAGTTACAGTGAGAGAAGTAGAGAGAAGAAAGAGAAAGCAAATTAATAAGATGAGCCAGAGATGAGGAACAAACAGTTTTGCTAGGATTCTCTAAAAAGTGTGGTCTTCGTTCAATCTATCTCTACAGTTGATTTGTGTAGGCTTGCTCTTGCGAACGAGCCATTGAGTCTAACCCAGATAGCAGAATCTCAGACAGCATTCATAGCCGAGGTATTTGTCTGGTTGACAAGTTTGAACTTTCTTTTTTGGATATATTCCCAAGGCATTCATTTCAATCTTTAGATCTACGAAGCTTTTCGGTGTAATCAATTACATACCAATACGACAGCGAAATACTCCTCGGAGCTCTGAAAAATACGATTTTGATCCAACCCCATATCTCCTATTCTGATCCTTTCATGTTTGTTTAAATGCCCATTTAATATCTCTTGAAGTTTGACCATTAGATTGTGTTGTTTTTATTGTGGCTTTGATTACAGAGGACAGTGATTGAGATCAAAGAAGAGAGGTCTGAAAAGTTAGGATCCGAGGCCAATCCTTTGGAAGGTAATGCCTAATAGCGGCATTTTTCACTCAAATAGCTTTTGATAAGGTGGCTTTTGACGATCGAATTTATACTTATTACGGTTCCGTTTTGGAAAAAAAGAAACCAAATACAGTATCGGTGTAAAGGTGAATGAAAGATAAAGAAAAAGAAGGAAGAAGGGGCTCTCCTTTTGTTTTTTGTTTTTTGTTTTTGGTTTTTCCTTTTTTTTTTTGCTCGACAAATCATAAAACTTTAATATTATTATAAAGGGAAGAGGTGGCTTGGCTTTAGCATGCAAGTTGGCTCCTGCAAAAGGAAGGAGCGTCTCACCAGCATTAGAATAGAATAAACTTCTCTCAAAGCACAACATGCAAGATATGAAGCAGAGGCAGCATCAGCAAGACAAAGAAGAATCTAAGAAGAAGGAGCGTCACATTGTCTCTTGGACTCAAGAGGTCCTTCTTTATTATTACTTCTTATGTTATATATATTTCCTGATGAATAGATTAATCTTCCATCTCTTTTGGGTATTTTCTCACTTGGATAATTGAAGCTGCAGGAGGATGATATACTTAGAGAGCAGATTAGCATTCACGGAACAGACAAGTACTGATTCTCTTGCTTGATGATTCTTCTTTTGACTCACTAGTTAGTGGATCATTTTCTTGGATGTGTGGAACTAAGGGATTTTATTTTGATTGAAATAATCATATGCAGTTGGACAATTATTGCATCTAAATTCAAGGATAAAACGACAAGACAGTGCAGGAGAAGGTGGAGTTTTTTTTTTTTTTTTTTGAGTTAATGTGTGTTTTGGTCATGTTTCTTAGCAATGTTCTTCCTGTTTAGTGCCCTATTTTTCTGCTTTGTTGTTATTTTAAATATGATTCCAATGCTGAAGTGATCAATGAAATATCAGGTGGTACACATACTTGAATTCTGATTTCAAGAAAGGAGGGTGGTCACCAGAGGAAGATATGCTATTATGTGAGGTAAATTGGTTGTCCTTCTTTGGTCACAAGTGATGTTTTCATCGCAAAGCTGTTTCTCTCAGAAATCACAAGATAAACCAATTATAGAAATCTATCAAACTTTGAAATATTACTTGCTAATAATAAGAAAAATTTTGTATTTTGCATCAAAGTCTAGCCTACTGACTGGCCTCAGTTTAAACTGACCAATTTCTTTTATATGTGTAGTTCTAGATTACGGTGCTTATAATTCATTCAAACCTTCTTCTCCTTCTTCACTCTCTCTCTCTCTCTTCTCTTTCCTATGTGGGTTTTGTGACCTCATATCTTGCTATTCTCTATAGGCTCAAAAGATTTTTGGCAACAGATGGACAGAAATAGCTAAGGTGGTTTCAGGCAGGTAAATATTCATTCTTTCCTTCATGCAAATGCCGGTTATAGATAGTGCTCTTCTTTCCTTCATGCAAAAGTTACTCTGAATGTACCTATTTCTACACAGAACGGATAATGCTGTGAAAAACCGCTTCTCCACACTATGTAAAAAGAGAGCGAAATATGAAGCCTTGACCAAAGAGAACAGCCCTTCATTCATCAATTCAAATAACAAAAGGATAATTTTTCAACATATTTACAGTACAGATGCTACATCAGAGGCTGCAGAATCAATTAAGAAGATGAGGTATGAGATACTTTTAAGTATCACACTACACCTAGTCTGCAGAAAAGAACAGTGCAATCGTAGTGACATGTTATTTTTAATTGTAATGTAGTAGGGCCCACATCCCTGATGCTGCAGCAAGTATCACTTATGGAGACAGATCACGTAAACTATTTGGAACACCAGTTAGTCAGCAACCTAGAGTGCCATTTGGTATATTATCTAATTTCAATGATAACAGCTTGCCAGACCAACGTCCTGTCTGCAATGTCAAGTTCAGCAGTTATGGTAATGTCCTTGAAGTGAATGTTGTTGGTTATGGAACTTGATCATTTATGATGTGAAATCTGAAATCAACAAAAAGTAAATCAATAGTATATTCAGCGAACAAATGTCTGGTAATTCTTACATTCTAATATGACTCTTGGTTTATCATGTTCTTGCAGCCCAAAATAACAAGACTCAAGGAACATTCCTCAAAAAGGATGATCCAAAGATAAGTGTGTTGATGCAGCAAGCGGAATTATTAAGCTCACTTGCAGTGAAAGTTAACACAGAGAACATGGACCAGAGTCTTGAGAATGCATGGAAGGTGAGGGCTTATAGCTTATGAACTTTCTGTTATTGAGTGCTGAACATATTATGAGCTTCTTTATGAATTACGAGACCAGATAGTGTCAAAGAAAGCCCAAATTATGGAATTTATCTCTAAAACTGCAGCATGCGAAGAAATAAAGAAAATTGGCATGAACAAAACCTATCTATATGAAGATCTTGAAAGTCATTTTAACAGTTTTTACTTGGCCTTGAAAACTCTGAAATGGCTTCATTGGTCTGGTCTGCATTATATTATTGATATAGGGGAATCGAGCTGATTCTGTCAACCCTGTCAAAAGTATCCGAACTAAGATAGCAAAAATCATGATTCATTCATGTTGATGTTGACTTCCAAATCTAAAATAGCTGTGTTTATCAGTTTTCTAATATATAATCAATAAAAAGAAGCTTGACTTAGTTCTACAAAGGCCCCAGGTTAATTTTGCTATGCCAGTCAAGATCTAAAGGACAGAGGAGAAGGCCCTCAATATCTTCAACACACCCTGACACATAAAAGCCTGTCGGACTTTAAAAAGTTTCCTCAGTATAGCTCACTACCCCATGTGGTGAATTTTTATTCAATTAGAGAAATGGAAGCAACACTCTTGACTCCTCATTTTTGATGGCTCTAATAAGATGATTTTATCGGTATACCTCATGTTGTTTATTGACTTCAAATATCTTCTAACACTATGAATAATGATGTTAGGTTCTGCAAGATTTTCTGAACCGAACAAACAAATCAGATCTTTCAAGATATAAGATCACAGATTTACAGCTGGAAAATCTTAAAAATATGGCTGAGGACATAAAGAGTGGTCATGAGGGGAGCCAACCATATCCAAGGTACTTTAAATTTATTAAAATTGTAACTTCTTGCGGTTCAACCACCACATATCTAATACTTTCAGTATATGTTCTAGGCAACCAGAGCTACATGAGGACTCTCCAAGCAGTTCCGAATATAGTACAGGATCAACTATCCTGCCCCGTTCAACTTGTGATGATTTGGAACATTCACTGCATCTAAATGTTAGAACAGAAGGGAAGCCTACAGCAAGTGAAGAGAAAAAAGGAGTTATTAGTTGTGGGAAACAAGTTTTTGCTGCTTCAACTGCAGATCAAGGTGAGATAATCTTGTCTCACAGGCAAACTAAATTCTGTTTTCTATAACATGGTAATATTGTGACATGTTTGTGAAGCAAACTGCTAATAATGCATATCTTTCTACAGCAGATATCTTGCCATCTTGTGAGGAACAGATAGTCGATGATTTCATTGTTTCTGCCTTGTCAAGTGCAGAGTTCAGTTCCCCTATTCAGGTTACTCCTCTGTTCAGATCCTTGGCTGCAGGAATTCCTAGCCCACAGTTTTCAGAAAGTGTAAGTTTCTCAATCAATTTGTTTGCAAACATATTTTAAGTCAATATTACTGGTCATAGCAGTAAATATAAAATCAGCACTGGTATTTGCATTTCTTTTTAGATCAACCTCATTTGTGGTAGAATTTTTAAAATTTCTATTTATGCCTACCCGAGCAGCCTGCTCATTTTGAGCTTTATTATGTGTGGTAGATATTAATATTTGGATAGTGTTCAGCGAATAAACTTCATAAACATTACATATTCTATTGTATCTTTTGTTGATTTTAAGTCAAAAGACTACAGTATTAAACTCAACATTGGAGATGTAGACACAGAGGTAGATTACAGAAGGGTTTATCCACAATCCTTTCACAATAAAATTCAGCTAGGCCTGGCAAAATAGAGTGGGGGAGGGGTCGGGTAGGCATTTGTGTGTAACTGGAAACTGTATTGGTTGCATGATAGAGTTAGTTCAACAATAATGTAAATTTACAAGGTATAATGCACAATAAAACTCACTGGTATACTTCTGTTTGCCAAGTATGCTTGTATATAGGACATCTTTATTGCATCTAGGTGACTCAGGAGGAAAAGTTCCCATTGCATACAGGCAATACATTACAAGGGAAACATTATATAACGCGTTATGTCAATTGAATAGTTAATCCAGTCCAGGTCTCTCGGTCTTGTCTGCTTCTCCTAATCTGTAATGAATAACCCAAAGGAAAAAAGTTGTTTGTTTTTATTTCTGGGAGACAAATCGGTGTGTATAATAAATACACTCTATTTTGTTTGTTGCCTTTCTAGCTTGGGCTGGTACATGTAATTTACTGATTAAAAAAAAAAAAAAACTAACATTAGATTTGTTTTGTAATAAGATTTAGAGCATAAGTTGCTAGCTATTGTCATCTCCCATGTGTTATCCGGGGTATCTAAGGGCCAAATTTAGGGCAAGCAGGATTGCTTTCTGCTTATATCAAAGCTGCTAGTTTGTCTAGCCCTGTTGGACAATGTGAACCGTGTGTCAGTTTACAACATAATTAAAATTTTTTTTTACATGTCAAATAGGAAGCTGATACTGTTCTAACCTCGTAAATTTAGTTCATCTACATATTTCCGGACATTGGAGGTCATTAGTAACAGCAATTTGAATTATTCACATAAAAGCACTGTTTTTCTTGTGGTATATGAGTGGGTTCTTTCTCTATTTATCAGCATTTGACTCAAGATTACTGATGACCATTCTTTGCTTGTAACTCTTATTGTTTTGCAGGAAAGGAACTTTCTGATGAAAACACTAGGAATGGAATCCCCATCACAGAAACAAAGCGCAAAAGCCTCACAACCACCACCTTGCAAAAGAGCCCTATTGCAGAGTCTATAACCAAATGTCATAATACATATAAAGTATAAAAACTCCTATGTATGCCTTTCCCCTTTCTGATTCCTTCCTTCCTACCTTTGGGAATGAAGCATGCTGAGTGCTATATTGCATTGGCGAGAATAGACTCCAAAGATTGCAAGTGCAGCCATATTCAGATCCAAATTTTGCTAGGCATCCCCCTCCAAGAATGTGATGGAACATTCTTGTGATCTTTAGACATATCTAACAGTGCCTTTTACCTCATCCCTGACACTTGCACAAAAAATCAGCATGCTTAATGTGTCATTCTGTGGGTTGTCTTAGTTTGATATGGTGTTCTGCGTTTGTTTTTCTCTAATCCATCTTTTGATCTTTATTTCTATTTTGTACATAGGCTTTAGTAGTTCTGAGTGATGTACACATCGGCATATCGCCTCTCCTACTCTATATATGAACAGAAACAGAGATAGAAGAGATAAAGAGGAAAAAAACTCCCCAAATGTGAGAGGGTGAGAAAGAGTTTGAAGAAGATTAACCAGTGAAATATTGGATTTCTTTTTCGTTATTTTGGGTGTGCATAGGGTATAGAATAATTTTATTTTTCCCTTTTGGAGTCTGATGTAATGGAACTTCATTTTTGGAGTGGAAATGCATATTGGTTTTGGTGTGCAGAAACTGTCTCTCCTCTCTCTTTAGATCGTAACTAAATTTAGAGCTCTCCATGTGAAGGAATGAAATCAGAAGATCAGGATAAGGTTTCCCATCGATCCCGCATAACCTTTTCCCCAGAAATAAAAGAGAAGAAAAACGGAAGCTACTGAACATCACTGAGAATCATACAAGGCAACAGATTGAAACAAGAAATCTGGTAGTTTTTTCAGAAAGCAACAGAAACATGAAGAAAAACGAAGAATTCAAAGTGTCGTACTCACAGAAAAAACTTGTGCTCTGGCATTGAAGACGCATGAAGGAGCCTTGCTCTTGCTCCATTTCTCTGATAGAAACATGGTTCCATGGTGGTGCAGTGAATGAGAGTGTGAATTGTAATGTGACGAAGGAGAATAGTGAAAGAGTAGGGTTCATAATGGAGGTAAGTAGGATGGTGATGAGGTGATGATGATGGTGGAAGACAGAAGGAAGGTAATAATAACAATAATGAGATTTGGCAAAAGCAATTGACAAAAAGAGGGAGGGAGTTACTTACAAACCAAAGACCAGTCATTCTGTTGAAACTTTCTCGTCCAAAAGGCACACTTTGACTCATTTGACCTTCTGATTTCCACTTTTTCAATTTGATTTCAAGAAAAACTTGGGTGTGGTACGATGGAATAGTTTTTTTTATAAAATTGGAATAAAAATTGAAATTAAAATAAAATTAAATTTTAAAAATATATTTGGCATGAATATATAATCTTAATACAGTTTTAATAAATATATGCATTTAAAATAGGAAAATAAAATATCTCTTCCCAAAAAAATTGCTCTCCCCCGTATCCATCTCACGGTTAGCAACTTTTGGAAATATGGGTTGAACCAAAACAATTTGAGTTGAACCAGAAACAGTTTGAAGCATGATTGATAACTAAAAAATCCTTCCCAGGGCACCGTCGAACTTGATGCCATCGTCAATCACCAGCCACCACACAATTGTCCCACCTAGTTTTTATTTTATTTTATTTTTATTTATTTATTTATTTATTTTTGTGATCACATGTCCTTTAGCTGGTTCATGACAGCAACAAAAGCGGCAATGGTGATTGGAGTTCGACAATGAAGTTGTAGGAGGGTGAAGGTGGAACAGATGATGATGGATGAGGGCAGAGGAGACCAACAGTGACGAAGGCTGAAGTGACTTAAAATTTTAACTCCAGAGAATTGAACCGATTCCACTGAGCTTGAGATGGATTGGATTTTGGCTATTTTGTTGGAATTGGGATTCTAAAGAATCCAAAATCTATAATACCAAACATGATTACATCAAGAATCCATTTCTAATTTTATTTTCACACTTCCATCATAGTAAACTGGCCTTAGGAGCTGCTATTAAGTGCTCATTGTGTGTGATAAAAGTATAATACTTTTCTTTTTTGAACAAGTATTTGATAATTTTCCACCAATAACTGAATGAGACACATCCAAGCAAGTCCAAGAAACAAGGAGGAGGAGGAAGAGGTGTAGGATGGAATGTGAGTAGAGGTCAAATGCATAAATTTTCCCAATTTAGAAAAAAAAAAAAAAAGAGGGAGAAAATTGAAGGTATCGTCGAGGGCGTTTGGTTTAATTCACTTTCCCGAAGTACCCGTGAAGCCTCCATTGACAGTAATGATCCTATATAGCAAAGGTTCAGATTAGTTTGGTTTAATACACTTTTTACGGATCCTCTATGCCGTTACTTTCCCTCGGAGTACGATCAAATGTAAACTCCCACATTATACAGCACTTGAAGTCTTCACTTTCTGCCTGAGATTCGCCTCTATTCCTTTTTTTGCCCCCTCGCTAACAATCCTTGCTTTAGATAGTGGGATTTAATCATGAGATCTCAAACTAAGCGAATGGTCTTAAAACAATCAAACTACAACAAATAATTAAATTTGCACAAATCTCGAAACTCCATCTAGAAGAACCTTAAACTTCCATGCGCAGCTGGAAATCAGATTCAGAGTATACAACTTTGGCATCTGATGAACACGATACACAGATGAGATGAATCTAGAAAATCACGAGCGTCTAACAAAATGGGCTCTAAACTTAATCTTTTTACGTTTGAGACCAAACAAAAAAACAATTACATTTACCAATATTTTTCTATCTATAGTCTAAATTTGACTAGTCATTTGGTCTTCTAAGGTAAAATTCTATATATCAAGAGGGTGGATACTTGATAAGGGAACGGGCATAAGAAGGATTGATGATTTAATTAAATACTTTTAGAGGTCTCACTTTAAATGGCTTTCTTCTTCTTCTGCAATCTCTGCAGCTTCTGCCACTTGAGGTATATCTGGTATGACAAGCCAGAGAATACCATAAAAACACATCCCCATTGCTTACTTGATAATGGATTCCCACTCAATAATGAAGACACTACAATACTAACAAACTTGCGAGTGGTGGTGATGGTGGTGTTAGCCAAAGACCCAAATCGACTTATAGTCAAAAAGATGAAATTCTGGCCCACTGCACCGCAACAGCAATAGTAGAAAATATCCCAAGCTGCCTCTGGATGATGTTTGCAGAAGCGAATTGCCTCATATCCAATGCCACCGGGCCAGCCAAACATATATATCATGTTGTATATGGTTCCCCATAAATTCATGCCTAACATAATACCCCAGGCACTTGTTTTTGGATGCCTAAAGAAGAGAGAATCAACAGTTTAGTGTATAATTTAAAACAAGAAAAATATAATTCAAACCACTTTGATTGCCCTCTTTCGATATTGTATTGTATTCACGTTTTGAGTGTTTCCAACTGTCATTAAAACAATCATAAATGTAGTTCATGACTACCAAAAAGCAGGTATTTTGACAAAAGGAAAAACCATTCCAGAAAGTTTTCATTCAGAAATTGCTTTTCCCATGTACTTATCATTGGGTTCTCTTGATTTCTATTCTTCCACAAAGAAACTTTTTCCATTTGTTGGTGAAGAGACTTGATCTAAATTATATATCAATGAAAATATCGTTTATGTGCATGCAACCAACACCAATGACATCTATTATCAGTAAACAATCCAAATAAAGCCACCAAATCCATGAACACTTTGAAGAACTAATCAATTTTAAAAAGGAAAAATTATTGACAGCATGCAGATTTGTCTTGAGTGATAGAAGGGAGGCCATCTAGGAGTGGAAAGAAAGTTGCGGATCATAAATTTCATCATCTGCATGGGAATAAATATATGCGAAATTGAAAACAGGTAGAACTGTATCTTTTACCTGGCTTTTAAGGAATCTTGAGTTGCATTTGTGAATCCATCAAAAGCAAGATTCAGGAAGCAAAGCCCATATCCAAGAGGGGCATTTGGATGCGCCAGCTTGCTGATTGTCTTTGAGCTGGTCTGTAATCAACACCAGGAACAATGAGAAAACCGCAAGTTAAGCCGCATTAAGAATAATCATCGTAAATTCCAACCCAGCCTAGCCTTTTCTTTTCCTTTATTATATATGCTAAAAAGTTTCACTCTGCCTTTCTGAATAGTTCCTGACCTTTAAAAGTGCAAATGTTGATACCCCTCCTGCAACAAGGAATGAACAAAGGTATTCTGGAAAAGAATATCTTATACCGTACACTAAAGTACCCATCAGCATAACTGCAAGTTAAGTGAATCATTTGTTAGATGCTGAAGATGAAAATTTTTAGGAACAGCTTACTGCAGTTGAATTTTAATCAAACTCAGAGAAATAAATAAAGGTAATTACTTTATATCATTTCTCTGCCATCTTTTTCATTACAATGCTTAAATATCATAACTATTTCACATTCCCACAAACATCGCAGCACAGATTATTAATGAGAACTGAGAAATGCAAAAGTTCCAAAGACTATAGGCTGGTAAAGTTCTGAAGAATAAGTTGGCACAACTAACAAGGAATCAAAAATACAAAAGGGATTAAGCACAGATTATACGTTTATAATTCTCTCCTAAATGTGAGGATACTCAGTAAGTTACCAAGAGCGAAATTATTTTTTATTGACATTTTATCAAATGCAAGCTTTTTATGCGCATCAAGATCAATCTACTGACCTGGAATCATTTTTGAGGATTTTGCAAGGACCTGCAAGTAGTGAAAATATCATCAGTCTTTGAAGAGGACATTCACCATGTTACAGAAGAAAAAAATAAAATTAAGTCACATCAGCTCCATGGAAAATTATACATACAATTCCCGACTGTTTCATTTGGGAACACAGGATATTTCGCATGAATCAAAAGAAGCCAATAAAGGATCTTTTCAAAGGACATGCCTGAGCTGGATAACTAATATACTTCAATGCTTCAATTCCCATAGCTGGACCAATTGTATTCGTAATGCCAGCACTCCAGTAAGCCCACCAAGGAGCACCGCCAGAACTGCCACCGGACCATATCCTAATCACTGGATCAGAAGCCAGCAAACAAACATATTCAGGTCAAATCCACAATAGTACTCGTAGACAAACAAAAGAAAGTAGCTATTGTGGGTATCGAGGCTTACTTATATATGACCAGATCAAGCATACTAAATTCTGTGCCAAGTTTAGAAATGCAAGGTGCTCAAACCTCTGACCATCTGGACCAAATCGCTTGGTCGACCTGAATAGAACGAAAAACATTATCACAATGAGATAACACAAAACCATTGCAAAATGTTGGTAGAGTTAAGTATGACACTGATTGCTATCAATTAGCTAAATCATTATCGGATCAAAATAAGCAGATCAAGCATTTGTAAGAAAAATAAAAAATGGATGGACTGAAATTGTTGATGATTCTTAGACAAATTCAAGCCAGTTCAAAATGACAACCATGAGATCGGAAAGATAATTAAAATAATCAAATCGACATTTCTGAAACCGGAAATGAAAACCAGAAAAGGTCAATGATACACTTACAGAGTTTCCTGGAGGAAACCTTGGTAGATATAAGCAGCCCAAATCCCGGCGACACAGAACGCCAAGAGTAACACACGGCGGAGACCGGAACCATGAGCCTCCATGAAAGGACCCAAAATGTGTCGCCGGAACCGCCCTAGATTCGACGATTTCTTCTTCTACTACTGCAATTTCTCCTTCTGGAAACAAACGATGAACACTGATGCAACAAAAATCGAGAAAAATGGAAGATCGGAGACAGAGAAGCAGAGGGAAGTGTAGACGACAACTTGCAACCTCCAAAGCGACAGTGTTTAAAGGAAGACGACGACGTCAAAGCAGGGGCAAGTTACGTGGATTTAACACGTGGAGGTTTTTCATTGGATAAACAACGCTCTTGGCGCATCTCATTGGCTGAGCAAACGCGGATCGCTGCTTTTGCTTCAAACGTTCGGTACAGTCGTTAGAGTGTTAATTGGGGCTCGACCACCCGCTGAATTTATCTAGTCCAATCTTATTCAATTACATTTTTTAGGGGTAGGTGTTAAAAAATATAAAATATTTTTAATTTTTTAAAATATAATTATTATATTTTTTTTAAAGTGTTATTGTTGAATAAATTATTTTTTATTTATTTTAAATTGAAACACTCTATTAAATTAAATAAAAATAAATATAAAAATATAAGATTAATTAAAAATTAAATAATTACTTTTATTAAAGGTGAAATTCGATTAAAAATATTTTATATTTTTTAAAGAAGGGAGTACTCCATTTAATATCTATTACAAGAGTTTCTAGCCAATTTACTAGGATGAGAGGTGGTTGAATAATTATGTTTATATGAAATTTTCAATCCTATTTATATAAACAATTTTCAAATTTGTATTTGTCATGTCCAAAATTTTTACATGCTTATTAATGAAAAATTTAGGAATACTATTTAATTAATGATATTAGCCAAGTATGAGAAATAATTTTTAGAAGATATTGAGAGTGATTATTTGATGAAAAGAAATATTTAAAAAAATTATATTAATATTATTGATTAGGAAATACCCAAAAAAATTAATTATAAGATTTAAATATTAGAGTCTTTTAAGACCATCATTCTTCAGTGCCAATACTCTATAATAATTAATTTGCTAAAACCCATTATGAGTCCATGGACAGAATTTACTTTTTTTCTGTAGCAAATTAGTGTGAGGCTTATGTCTTGAATCAAAAGAATTATTCATGGGCCACGTGAAAGCATTTGTTGAACATATAATAGATGAAAGCTAAAAAGTAAACTTTCATTTTTTTTTTCTTCTCCATTTTTAGAAATAGCAACTTGAGTGGGAGAGAGAAAATTAGTTTAGCTTCCATGAAGTTTTAGAGAGTTTAGAGAGAGAGACTGTAACTCAACCAAATACTATCACTTTTAGTTCAAAATTTACATGCAAAATCAAAATCTGGACCTACTCAACTCAAACTTTCATTTAAACCTAGTAGTTCATGGAGATTTTCAAATTTTAGACGGAACTTAGGGAGATAAAATTTAGAAAATCAAAGCTGTAGAATACTTGGAGTAAGGTAAGTATAAATTTATGAGTTTTTAGATGTCTTGATGAGTTTCAAAAGTTAAAATATGAGATTGAAAAGTATTAGTCAGATATTTATTTTTTTATAGCTTACTTATGGGTATTATAAGATAAAAAAATGATTGGAAGATATTATGTATATATCCACTTAAGATAGGATTAAGAAAATTAAAAATAAGTTTTGCCTTGTTATTTCAATTATTTTTGTTAAATAGAAGAGTCTCACTTATTATGTGTACCGTAGAAAGGAATAATAATTTATTGAAAATTTGAAAAAAGAAAGAAAATATTGTTTTTTCTATGGGTCCAGAGTTTCGTCTGTGGCTAATATTGAAAGTTAACGTATGAGTTATTTCTTGATTTTGGATCCACCAAAAATCATGATGAGTTGTTTCACACTATTATAGGATACTAGTAATATAATAATAGAAAATATGGGTTTTATTGGAAGCATCATTACACGTACATCTTAGAGGCAATTTCTCTTAATAATAATAATAAGAATAATATATGATGTTATAATTAAATTATGAATTTATTTATTTTGTATATATGAAATTATGAATTCATATTAGATTGTGGAAAATGATATAGTGGTGCTGGATAATTTTTCTAGACTTTGATATTTGTGAAAAGCCCAAAGAAGTTCATTTTCAAGAAAAGTTGGGACAAAAAAGTATTTTGATCAAAGGTAGTATTTCTCTAATTTTTATGATAGCAATATTAGTTGATCTAATGTTATAGAAATTTTTATTACCATGAATTATAGAAAATTTATGAGTTAATGAAATGTGTTATTGCTAGTATGATACTTTGGCCATTATATGTCTATACTTGCTAAATTTTATAATTCATGGTTTAAGTTTGTTTATATGAGTGGACCATTATTGCTTTAAAACTTGAAATAGATTAATACTACTGAGATTTTTATAAATCTCATCCCTTATTTTATCTTACAAATAATAGATGCAGGTTCATCATTCAAGAACCATGGCAAGGAGAGAGAGCAATAAAAAATTTATCTTATTCACCTTGCTTTTTAGTTATATTTTGGTATAGTTTGGAATTGTAATATATATATACCTAGCTTTATGATTATATTTTGAGTTGTAACTATAAGAATAGATTACAAATATATTCATAGTTCAATTATAATCATGGATAGATTATATTTTGGTATGTAAATATTTTTTTTATGTGTGGTAAAAGCTATTATGATAAAATATTTATCCAAGGAACAATATTAGTAAGGGTATCGTAGTAGCTACATGGTGATTATTATTTAAAATTTTTAGTCACTTAGAGGACATTTCAAGCTTCAAGTGAAGTCCTAGATCACTAAATTTGGACTTGTATATAATGAGATAAGATTTTTACAAAAAAAGGCAGGAAATTGGAAAATTTTCTGTAAATAACTGTAGCAGTGAGAAACAAAAATTCCTCATTAAATATAGATGGACATTTGAAGTTAGGAATTATTTTTTCCTTATAGAGGACTTCTTAAGCTTAATTTAAAGACTTGAATCACCACAATATGATTTTTTAAAATTAGTTATGAATTTTGTAAGTTGATGATGAATTCTGAAAAAAAAAAATGCATATGTCCTCAAAAATCAGATTGGCATTTTTCTCTTCTTGATGATTATCAAAATTTAAGCAATGATCCTTATAAGTACTTGTTATTAAAAGGAGTAAAAACATATGAGATGTTACAATATTATCATTAAGTGCCTTTTTCTTTATAATGTGGAAAAAACTATCAAGTGTTTTATATTAAAGTGTTTTATGTTAGAGTAAGTATATATATAATATTCATTGATAAATTGATAAACTAAAGAAATTTAATGCAAGATCTTTTAAAATTATTTTTGGATGACATAATTATAAACAACAAATGACTGAATTTTAAATTTATTTACACTGGATAAAAAGCCCTGTCAACCTCTTTGTCTTATTTTGTTGACATATAAAATAGAATAAGTTATTGAATTATTGAATTAATTAAGCTTAATCAGATTTAAAATTTGTCGATGAATTATTTAAAGGATTACGAGAAGTGCTACAAGGATATCTGAAAGTTTGCCCAGCAATATCTGGAATGAGTGATATTTTAATTTTAATATTAATGTAAGATAATAACATTTCGAGTTTGGAGTCAAGTGGAAGCATATTGAGCCAGCAGAACATATTTCAAGCAATATTTTGAATTTGTTAGAAGTCGTAAAAATCAATATAGATAGTATTGATTTTTTTTTTGATACAACGGAAAAATAGATAGTAGAAAATTTGAGTAATATAGATGGTGGCGTTAATATATAAAGAAAATTTGGAATTCAAAAGGGTCAACATTTTGTTTTGAGAGTTTGTAATATATGGTTATGAATGAATCATGATTTTAATCCAAAAAAAAGGGTCAACATTTTGTTTTGAGAGTTTTGACTACAGTTGAATTAAATTTAACAATAGCAAGCTAAGTTATTGAAAAACATTTGGTTGTTTTTTTAGGGACATCCAATAAAATTAGAAGGATACAAAAAATTTGGAAAAAAACATTTGGTCATTTTTTAAAATATTTTTATTGGTTATGGTAGTAAAAGTTTTGGTTTTGACACAATATCAGTGAAAAGTAAGTTACTTTAGAAATTGACATATATGAAAGAGAGAATGGCACTTAGGTGTCCAAATATTAAATTTATGACAATTAGATTTTCAATAAAAAATTTTAAAAAATAAGTTGAGAATATCGATTCAAATAATTATAAATTTAAGAATTTTAATGTTAAATTTAAGTATCAAGCATGTGCTGAATTATGCCCAAGCATAACAAATTATGTTGTAGCATAATTTCTAAAATCAGCTTTCTTTAAAACATAAAAAAAAAGATCTGAAAAAGAGAGAGAAGGCCAGAAGCAAAGGGAGGGCGATGAAGAGAGTAGTTGCTCTGTTAAGACATTAACTTTTGGACATTTTAAAAGTGATTGGAGCTTGATTTCACCTTGGTATGTTTTTCTTATCTCTTATTCTTCTCTCTATACATTTTGGAAGTGAAATTTGAGATTGAGAGATGAGAATTTTTGAACCTAGGCTATTAGTTCGAACCTATTGGTCTAAATTGGATTAATGGGAGTTGTTCAAGTTATCTAAACCTAGATGTAGTAGTTTTATATGTTTATAAGAGTGAGGTCTCAATTATGGATAAATTTGTGCATTAAAGTACCATTAGTGATGAATATTTGGGTTGTTGGAAGCCACTAATAATGGTAGATGGGTTTAATGAAGTTAGTTAGAGTGTATAGGAGTTAATAAACGTAATGTGGTGATTAAACTCAATAGTTGAAAGTTTTGATCGATTAAAGTGTTGAAATTTATGAGTTAAAAGTAACTAATTTGTGACAATGATGATGTTTTTGGATTATTGGATGATACATTAGTAATTATTAAAGTTGTTGAGAACTAAATGAAGTTAATAAACTCATTGGATGTGAGGTTGATCTTGAACTTATTAAAATATAAAATTAGATGTTGGAAGTGGTGATTTTGATGATTATTAGTGACGGATATTAATGTTAATTGTATACTAATCTCGTAAAGTATCAATGAGCTTGAATTTAACTTGAAAAGAAAGTTGTGATTAAGGATTAACTTTTGACCTCTTAAAAGTTTGAGATAATCAAGGAAAATTCAATTTGTGTATTTAATTAATTATTGTTGAAAAGTTTTGATTGATAAACATGTGACATTTGTAAAATTAAGTTT